TGGACCTGAACAGTATTTCTTTTTTGGACGAGAACAAATTAATCACTTCTACCTTCACAATATTTTATCTCACGAGTAAAAATTCAATATTTCTACATCAGTTCCATTAACTAGTAGTCAGAAAAAATCATCAAAATAACACATTATTCTTAGCTATTACCCACTCCACCAATACATATCGTCAAAAGTACCCCATCATTATCACGTCAAAGTACTCATCATTATCAATGTCAAAGTACCTATTATTATCGCTGTCAAAGTTTCTCCATATCATCATGACGTCAGCGCCCAAAAGTATTCCATCATCATTACGTCAGTACCCTATCATTATCATGTCGCAACCCTGTCATTATCAATGCCGCAGAAACCTGTCATTATCAATGGGCATCTATCATTATCAATACGTCAAAGAACCCACTACACACATACACAGTAACACACACATGCATTTTAATATACAGTATTTACACACACACAAAGAAATTTCACATATGTTGCACACACACACACAGTATTTAACACACATGTCAGTACTTTATTGCTATTACATGTCAGTACTGCATTACATACGTTGTGTGAAATTTCTGCTTACATGTTGCATTTCCACATATTTACAAGTCAGCATTTATATCATTACCATGTCAGTATTTCTATCATATTACGTTGCACGCACAATATTGGCTGCCGGGGCACGGTAACACATTGATGTCAGTACTTAATATTATCACGTCAGTACCTTATCATTATTTACCCATCATCATCACGTCAAAGTACTCCATCAATATCACGTCAGCAGCACTCCATCATCACGTCAGCACCCATCAACATCACGTCAGCGAAACCCCATCATTATCACGCCGTCAAAGCACCCGACATCATCATCACGTCAGCACTCCATCAATCATTACATGTCAGCACTCAAAGCACTCCATCATCATCACGTCAGCGCCCCATCATCATCACGCCGGCGCACTTATCATTATCAGCCGTCAAAGAACCCCATCATTATCATGTCAAAAGTACCCATTATCATCACGTCGTGCTCTCTATCATTGGCTACGTCAAGTACTCAAAGCATTTCCATCATCATTAATATGTCAAAGTACTCCTATCACAGCCGATGTCAAAGAATTCCGCCACATCACGTCAGCACCCCATCATTATCACGTCAAAAGTACTCCATCATCATCATACAAGTACCACACATACATGTCAAGAACTTTTAATATACATGTTGGGGCACACATATAACACACACATATGTTGTGCATAAAGTATTTACACATATGTTGTGTACACATATTAAGGGCAAGTACTTGTTATGTGTATTTTACATATGTCAGTATTTATTACATAGTATTTACACACAGTATTTATTACACATGTTGTGCATTTATCACACATGTTGGGGTATTTGCATTACATTGCTGCCAGTATTTAATAATATTACGTTGTGTATTTGTATCATTACGTTAAAGAATTCTATCATTATTGCTGTCAGTGCATTTATCATCATCGCTGTCAGTATTTCATCATCATCACGTCAAAGTACTCATCATCATTTACGTCAAAGAATTTAACACACATGTCAGTACACACACACATGTCAGTATTTGTCACAAGCCAAAGTGGCTTTCATTACATATTATGCCAAAGAAATTTAATATTAACAGGATGTCAAAGGCCTAACACATTACAAGTCAGCATTTAACACATTACAACAAAGTATTTCATTATTTACGTTGTGCATTTAATAATATTGTTAAAGAACTCTATCATTATTTACGGTCAGTACTTATCATCAATGATGTCAAGTATTTATTTATCACGTCGGGGTGTTATATCATTTCCATCATCATCACGTCAGCACTCCATCATCATCAACGTCGCCACCCATCATCATCACGCCAGCAAACCCATCATTATCGTCAGCACTCCATCATCACGTCAGCACTCAACCATCACGAAGTCAAAAGCACGACATCATCATCACGCCAAAGACTCCATCATCATCACGTCAGCACCATCCATCACTCGCACCCATCATCATCACGCCGTCAAAGCATCATCATCACGTCAGCAATTCATCATAATCAAACACCAACCCTGATTAAGCGAGCAACAATAGAGAACGAACAGACTACCAAGTTGAATGATACATCCACCGGTCCTGCCAAACGTCTATATATATGCGAAATGTACAGCATACTGGTGTTTTCTATATACATACGGAAAACATCACCAAGAATCATACTGTAACATGTAGGAGTACCCAGTGAACACGACACAGATTCTCAAAGTCATTTTAAGATGTCAGTTTGCCGCAGCTGTTTACCCAACGCACAGTATGTCACAGTGGAGCAAAGTCAGCCGTAGAGTCAGTCAGTACAGTCAGTCAGACGTATTGTTACAACTACAGTGTGAGGAAGGAGGAAAGTAAATTCTACCGTTGTAATGTGTGAGAATCTGGTGCGAGCGGCTTGTGCACCCCCCACACACACACACACCCCTGAGCACCAACAAAATGAAGCTGACACGACTATTGTGCTTTCACCCTGATATTTCGAGATTTTTAAATTCTACATAGAATTTACCCTATTTTTATTTTTATTGTTAAAAAGAATTATTATTTTTTTACGTGCACATTTTTAAACAATATTTTATAAAATGTGTTAGTATTGAGTTTGTTAAAAGAGGTATATATTTCTTTGGTTATTACATATATAACATGAGAACTGACAACGTTTGTTGAAAAAAAAAAGCCCTGTTTTCTAGAGAACTTATGAATGCGGTGAAAATAATGAACGTTTGAAAAAGAAAAATGAATAATTTCAATTTGTTTTACCTCCTGATACTATGGCGAAAAAAAAAGAACGAAACTAAAAATGAATATACAACGTGTATATACAGTATATGTATATATAAAAAAAAAAAAAAAAAAAAAAAATATATATATATATATATATATATATATATATATATATATATATATATATATATATATATATATATATATATATATATATATATATATATATATATATATATAAATATAGAAGTATATATCTTTTTGTTTACACTATAGTCTAGGGTTACCATCTCTGGTTTTGGTCAGTGAACAGAAACAATTCGTCGCCGCTGAGGTGTGTGAGGTATCCCAAACGATTGTCTTCGTGCTGTTGTTAGATATATCCTCTCATTCTCCCCCTCAATTTCTCCTCCCCGAGTACTGTGAGGTTTCTCTCCCCAAACACACTATCTGACTACACCAACAACCACACCTTCATCTCTCTATGCAGCAATTTTTCCCCAATCCACACTATTTACCCAGCCACATCAATCCCCACCCACACCTTCCCCAACCCACACACATCTCAACCAGCCACACCCACTGACAACATATTCACCCTGCCCACACACTCAACCCCTCATCCACACTTATACGCGACCAAAATTAAAGCAACAGACAATCAAAGACAGATGATAAATATAATGAACAGAACAATACACAAACATTTGCTGTCAGCAAAATCGTCATACAGGCCCACCCTCACAGGTTTTGGATTAGGAAGAGAGAGAGATTTTGATCAACACACAAGCTGATCACCACATTCAGTCAACAACACGGTTTATATTTTGCTTCGTTTTATAGTAATTACGTGAGACCTTGATGTACCCCTATGTCTTTTTCACCAAAACACAAGATCTGAACGCTTAGTGAATATCATCCAACCAACTCAAGTATAACCTGTGACCAGGTGACCCTGGTGTGTGACCTGGTGACCTGGTGACCTGGTGACCCCGGTGACCTGGTGACTGGTGACCGGTGACCCTGGTGACCTGGTGTGACCCTGGTGACCAGGCAGACCAGGCAGACCGGTGGTGACCTGGTGACCAGGTGACCCGGTGACCCCTGGTGTGTGTGTGGTGACCCTGGTAGACTGGCGTAAGCTAGACCCTGGTGACCCTGGTGACACTGGTGCGTGTGACCCGGTGGTGAACCCGGTGTGTGTGACCCTGGTGTGTGTGACCCGGTGCGGTCCCTGGTGTGTGTGACCAGGTGACCCTGGTGTGGTGACCGGTGTGGTGATCCTGGTGGTGACCAGACCTGGTGACCTGGTGACCAGACCATGGTGGTGACCCGGTAACCGGAAACCCGGATCGGTGCGTGACCCGGTGACCCGGTGACCCCTATGGTGACCCGGTGACCCCGGTGACCCTGGTGACCCGGTGCGCTGGTGACCCTGGTGACCTGGTGACCCCGGTGTGTGCGTGACCCGGTGACCGGAGACCTGCTGTGGTGATGCGGTGATCCGGTGACCTGGTGACCTGGTGACCCCGGTGACCTGGTGTGTGGTGACCCGTGGTGACCCGGTGCACCGTGGTGACCCGGTACCCTGCGGTGACCCGGTGACCGGTGACCGGTGGTGACCCCGGTGACCGGCGGTGACCGGTGACCAGACCGGTGACCCTGGTGACCGTGGACCTGGTGACCCGGTGTGTGTGACCCAGGTAGACCCTGGTGGGGACCCTGGTGTGTGCGACCCAGGTGATCCTGGTGACCCTGGTGTGTGACCCTGGTGTGACCCTGTGACCCAGGTGTGTGTGCGACCCTGGTGACCCGGTGGGTGACCCTGGTGTGACCCGGTGTGTGACCTGTGTGACTGTGGACCTGGTGGTGACCCCTGGTGACCCGGTAGACCCAGGTGTGTGTGTGTGACCCTGGTGAGTGTGTGGCCCTGGTGTGGTGACCCTGGTGTCAGCGACTGTCTGGTGACCCGGTGGTGACCCTGGTAAGCCAGACCCTGGTGTGTGTGGTGACCTCGCGTGTGGCGGTGACCCTGGTGGTGACCCGGTGACCGGTGCAGACCCGGTGGTGAGATTCCCTGGTGACCCGGTGACCTGCGGTGAACCTGGTGGTGACCGGTGGTGTAGACCCAGGTGACCCTGGTGTGTGTGACCCGGTGACCTGACCCCTGACCGGTGTGGTGACCCTGGGGTGACCCGGTATGGCGATCTGGTGACCGGTGGAGACCTGGCGCGGTGATCTGGTGACCTGTGTGGTGACCCGGTGCGTGGTGACCAGACCCCGGTGCAGACCCGTGTGGTGACCTGGTGTGGTGACCTGGTGTGCGACCCTGGTGTGGTGATCTGCTGGTGATCCTGGTGTGTGACCGGTGACCAGACCTGGTGACCTGGTGACCGGTGACCGGTGACCCGGTGGTGACCCGGCAGAGACCGGTGACCCGTGTGGTGACCCGGTGACCCTCGGTGCGGTACCCTGGTGACCCCGGTGGTGACCCGGTGACCTGTACCCGGTGACCTGGTGTGCGACGTGTGACCCGGTGGGATCTGGTGACCCGGTGTGTGACCAGGTGGTCCTGGTGTGTGGTGACCCTGGTGTGGTGAGACTGGTGTGCACTGGTGTGGTGTGACCTGGTGACTGTGGTGACCTGGTGACCTGGTGACCTGGTGTGTGACCCTGGTGTGTGGCGGCCCACTGTGGTGACCCTGGTGACCCTGCGCAGACCTGCGTGCGTGACCGTGCGGTGACCCGTGTGACCCAGGTGTGACCCGGTGGTGACCCTGGTGTGGTGACCTGGTGTGTGTGACCTGGTGTGTGACTGGTCTGGTGACCCTGGTGTGACCCGGTGTGGGGACCCGGTGGTAGGTGACCCGTGGTGACCCGGTGTGTGGACCTGGTGGACCTGGTGGATCTGCTGCGTGACCCGGTGTGGTGACCCTGGTGACCTGGTGACCGGTGACCCGGTGACCGTGGTGACCTGCGGGCGACCGGTGACCCTGGTGACCCGGTGGACCAGGTGACCCGTGGACCGGTGACCTGGTGTGAGTGACCCTGGTGCGTGCCTGGTGTGTAGAGACCGGTGACCCGGTGACTGGTGACCCCTGGTGTGGGTGACCCTGGCGCTGGTGACCCTGGTGGTGACCTGGCGTGGACCCCTGGTGGTGACCCTGGTGACTGGTGGTGACCCCGGTGGCGACCTGGTGACCGGTGTGCGTGTGACCTGGTGACCCGGTGGTGACCTGGTGACCAGGTGACCTGGCAAGACCCTGGTGACCTGGTGACCTGGTGACCTGCTGTGACCCGGTGACCCTGGTGACCAGACCGGTGACCGGTGACCCGGTGACCCGCAGACCGCGGTACCCGGTGCAGACCGGTGACCCCTGGTGACCCGGTGGGTGACCGGTGACCCGGTGACCCGGTGCAAGCGACCCCGGTGACCTGGTGACCGCGCAGACCCAGGCAAGACCCGGTGGTGACCCGGTGACCGGCGGTGACCATGCGACCGGTGACCCAGGTGCGGTGACCCGCGTGCATCCGGTGCAACCTGCGTGTGACTGGTGCGGATCTGGTCGGTGACCCGGTGACCCCGGTGACCTGCGGTGACCGGTGACCGGCGACCGGTGACCGGTGGACCCGGTCAGGACCTGACCCGGTGACCAGACCGGTGACCAGACCCGGTGACCCGGTGACCGGTGACCGCAGACTGCGTGGCCCGCAGACCCCGGTGTGCGACCCTGAGGACCGGTGACCTGGTGGAGACCCTGCAGGACCCGGCTGATCTGGTGCAGACCTGCGTAGACCGCGTGACTGGTGACCTGGTGACTGGTGGTGACCTGGTGACCTGGGTGACCCTGACCTGGTGACCAGACCTGGTGACCTGGTGACCAGACCTGGTGACCTGGTGACGGGTGACCTGGTGACTGGTGGGACCAGACCTGGGACCGGTGACCTGGTGTGACGGCGACCCGGCGACCCGGTGACCGGTGACCCGTGACCTGGTGGACCTGGTGACCTGGTGACGCGCAGGCGACCTGGTGCGGTGACTGGCGTGGTGACCTGGTGAGGACCTGGCGCGTGACCTGGTGACCGGTGACCTGGCGTGCGCCTGGTGACCTGGTGCGGTGACCTGCGGTGCGTGACCTGGTGACCTGGTGACCTGCGTGCGACGGTGACCTGCGGTGACCTGGTGACCTGGTGACCTGGTGACCTGGTGACCCTGGTGACCTGGTGACTGGTGACCGGTGACCTGGTGACCCCGGTGTGTGTGACCCTGGTGACCCGGCTGACCTGGCGACCGGTGACCTGGTGACCAGGGACCCGGTGACCCCTGGTGTGGGTGGTGACCCGGTGACCTGCGACCTGGACCTGGTGACCTGGTGACCCTGGTGTGGTGACCCGGTGGTGACCGGTGTGTGTGACCCGGTGTGGTGACCCGGTGCGAACCGGTGTGGTGACCTGGTGACCTGGTGTGGTGACCGGTGTGGTGACCTCTGGTGGTGACCTGACCTGGTGACTCCGGTGACCCTGGTGACCTGGTGACCGGATCTGGTGACCGGTGTGCGACCCGGTGACCCGGTGACCCGGGTATGGTGACCTGGTGACCCGGTGACCCTGGTGACCCTGGTGTGGTGGTGACCCGGTGACCTGGTGACCCCGGTGTCTGGTGACCCGGTGACCGGACGACCCGGTGCGGTGATGCGGTGACCGGTGACCTGGTGATCCCGGTGACCCCGGTGTGACCCGGTGTGTGGTGACCTGGTGACCCGTGCACCTGTGGTGACCCGGTACCCGCGGTGACCCGGTGACCGGTGACCGGTGGTGACCCGGTGACCGGCGGTGACCGGTGACCAGACCGGTGACCCGGTGACCGTGGACCTGGTGACCCGGTGCGGTGATCCGGTGACCCTGGTGGAGACCCTGGTGTGCGTGACCCTGGTGACCTGGTGACCTGGTGGGTGACCCTGGTGTGACCCTGTGACCTGGTGTGTGGTGACCCTGGTGACCCTGGTGTGTGACCTGGTGTGACCCTGTGGTGACCTGGCGTGCGTGAACCTGGTGGTGACCCCTGGTGACCCAGGTGACCCGGTGTGGTGGTGACCCTGGTGTGTGTGTGGCCCTGGTGCGGTGACCTGGTGCCGATCTGCTGGTGACCCGGTGTGGTGACCTGGTGTGCCAGACCCGGTGAGCGGGTGACCCTGGTGTGCTGGTGACCCGGTGACCCGGTGACCGGTGCAGACCCGGTGGTGAACCTGGTGACCCGGTGACCTGCGGTGAACCGTGGTGACCGGTGGCGTGACCCGGTGACCCTGGTGCGGTGACCTGCGTGACCGCCCCAGACCGGTGTGGTGACCCTGTGGTGACCCGGTGCGACCTGGTGACCTGGTGTGAGACCCTGGCCTGGTGACCTGGTGGCCTGGTGACCCGGTGTGCGGTGACCAGACCCCGGTGTGCGACCTGGTGTGGTGACCTGGTGTGGTGACCTGGCGTGCGACCCTGGTGTGGTGATCTGGTGGTGACCTGTGGTGACCGGTGACCAGACCGGTGACCTGGTGACCGGTGCGGTGACCCGTGGTGACCCGGTGAGACCGGTGACCCGTGTGGTGACCCGGTGACCCCCGGTGACCCGGTGAACCCGGTGACCTGGTGACCGCCCGGTGACCTGGGTGACGTGTGACCGGTGGGACCTGGTGACCCGGTGTGTGACCGGTGACCTGGTGTGTGGTGACCTGGTGTGGTGAACCGGTGCGACGGTGACGGTGACCTGGTGACCGGTGGTGACCCGAGTGACCTGGTGACCCGGTGTGTGACCCTGGTGTGTGGTGACCAGGTGTGGTGACCCGGTGGTGACCCTGGTAGACCTGTGTGGTGACCGTGGTGACCCGGTGTGACCCAGGGTGACCCAGGTGTGTGACCCGGTGCGGTGACCTGGTGTGGTGACCTGGTGCGACCTGGTCTGGTGACCCCTGGTGTGACCCGGTGTGGTGACCCTGGTGAGGTGACCCCGGTGACCCTGGTGACCTGGTGACCTGGTGACCCTGCGTGACCCTGAGGTGACCCTGGTGACCCTGGTGACCGGTGACCTGGTGACCGGTGCGAACGCAGGTGACCGGTGACCCTGGTGACCCGGTGGAACGGTGACCCTGCGGACCGGTGACCTGGTGTGGTGCGACCGGTGCGTGGCCTGGTGTGACCGGTGACCCGGTGACCTGGTGACCCCTGGTGTGGGTGACCCTGGTGCTGGTGACCCTGGTGGTGACCTGGTGTGGTATCCCGGTGGTGACCCGGTGGACTGGTGGTGACCCCGGTGGCGACCTGGTGACCGGTGTCGGTGACCCTGGTGACCCGGTGGTGACCAGGTGACCGGTGGTGACCCTGGTGATCCGGTGACCGGTGACCTGGTGACCTCGGTGACCTGGTGACCCCGGTGGTGACCCGGTGTGTGACCCTGGTGACCCGGTGTGGTGACCCCGGTGTGCGTGACTCCGGTGACCCGGTGGTGACCCGGTGACCTGGTGACCCTGCGATGACCCTGGTGGTGACCTGGTGTATGACCCTGGTGTGATCTGGGTGGACCCTGGTGTGGACCTGGTGTGACCCTGGTGACCTGGTGACCCGGGACCCGGTGACCTGGTGTGGTGACCTGGTGACCCTGGTGGTGACCCGGTGACGTGGTGACCCGGTAGGACCCGGTGACCCGGTGACCGCGTGGTGACCTGTGCAGACCGGTGACCCGGTGGTGACCGTGGTGACCGGTGACCGGTGCACCGGTGACCCGGTGACCCTGGTGACCCGGTGACCCCGGTGACCCTGGTGGTGACCCGGTGTGTGACCTGGTGTGACCTGGTGTGTGTGTGGACCTGGTGTGGTGACCTGGTGTGCAGACCTGGTGTGTGGACCTGGTGTGGTGACCCTGGTGTGTGACCTGGTGGACCCGGTGACTCTGGTGGTGACCTGGTGACCTCAGACCCTGGTGACCTGGTGACCCGGGTGGTGATCTGGTGAGACCTGGTGTGTGACCCGGTGTGGTGATCTGGTGACCCGGTGACCCTGGTGACCCGGCGACCCGGTGTGTGACACTGGTGTGTGGTGACCCCGGTGGTGTGTGATCTGGTGTGTGACCTGGTGGTGACCCTGGTGTGGTGACCTGGTGACCTGGTGACCCTGGTGACCCTGGTGACCTGGTGACCTGGTGACCGGTGCAGACCTGGTGGTGACCCGGTGACCCGGTGACCTGGCGGTGAACCGGTGAGACCCGGTGACCCTGGTGACCCGGTGACCGGTGACCTGGTGACCTGGTGACCTGGTGACCCCGGTGCACCTGGTGACCGGTGACCTGGTGACCCCTGGTGACCCGGTGTGCGGTGACCCGACTGGTGACCTGCGTGTGTGACCCTGGTGTGGTGACCCTGGTGTGGTGACCCTGGTGACCCGGTGTGTGACCCTGGTGACCTGGTGCGGTGAGACCCGGTGACCTGGTGACCGGGACCCTGGTGACCCGGTGACCTGCGGTGACCCGGTGACCCTGGTGACCTGGTGACCCTGGTGCACCCGGTGACCTGGTGACCCCGTTGATCGCAGACCCTGGTGCAGTGACCGGTGTGCGTGACCCTGGTGACCTGGTGACCCGGTGACCCGGTGGTGACCGACCCGGTGGTGACCCTCAGGCAGACCGGTGACCCCGCGGTGACCCGGTGACCCTGGTGACCCTGGTGATCCTGGTGACCTGGTGACCGGTGACCCCGGTGATCTGGGTGACCGGTGACCTGGTGACCTGGTGACCCTGGTGTGGTGAAACCCGGTGGTGACCTGGTGACCCGGTGTCGGTGATCGGTGACCCGGTGACCCCGTGACCCCGGTGACCCGGTGACCCGTGACCCGGTGCGGTGACCGGTGACCGGTGACCCGGTGTCGCACCTGGTGACCGGTGATCTGGTGACCCTGGTGACCCTGGTGGTGACCCCGGGTGACCCGGTGGCGATCCTGGTGATCTGGTGCGGTGACCCGGTGGTGACCTGGTGACCCTGGTGACCGGTGACCTGTGACCCTGTGGTGACTCTGGTGCGGTGACCAGACCCTGGTGACCTGATCCCCGGACCTGACCCGGTGACCTGGTGACCCTGGTGACCGGTATCTGTGGTGACCCTGCAGTGACCGGTGACCCGGTGTGGTGACCCTGGTGACCCTGGTGGTGACCCGGTGTCGTGATCCTGGTGCGGTGACCCCTGGTGACTGGTGCATGTGCCCTGGTGTGTGACCCGGTGACCGGTGACCCTGGTGACCTGGTGACCTGGTGACCCGTGTGTGACCCTGGTGACCGGTGACCCGGTGACCCGACCTGGTGGTGAACCCGGTGATCCTGGTGTGGACCCGGTGGTGACCCTGTGGTGACCTGCGTGTGTGACCTGGTGAGCGTGACCCTGCGGTGGTGACCCGGTGGACCCGGTGACCCCGGTGACCCGGTGTGTGACCGGTCCGGTGACCTGGTGAGTGGACCGGTGTGGGACCCTGGTGTGGACCCTGGTGACCCGTGGTGACCCGGTGGTGACCCGGTGTGTGACCGGTGACCCGGTGACCTGGTGACCCGGTGACCCTGGTGACCCGGTGATCTGGTGACCCCGGTGACCGGTGACCCGGTGACCGGTGACCCGGTGACCTGGCGACCTGGTGTGGTGACCTGGTGACACCTGGTGACCCCGGTGACCTGGTGACCCGGTGACCCGGTGACCCGGGTGGTGACCCGGTGAGGTGACCCTGGTGACCTGCGTGACCGGTGACCAGGTGACCCGGTGGGTGACCTGGTGACCGGTGATCCAGGTGGGACCCTGGTGACCTGGTGGTGACCCGGTGACCCGGTGACCCCGGTGACCTGCGTGACCCTGACCATGCGACCTGGGACCAGACCGGTACCGTGACCTGGTGACCCAGACCCCGGTGACCCGGTGACCCGGTGACCCAGAACCCGGCGACCCCTGACCCCGGTGACCCTCAGCACCGGTGACCCTCGTGACCCACCTGGTGACCCGGTGACCCAGACCCGGTGAACCGGTGACCCAGCCAGACCGGTGACCCGGTGCGGAGACCCAGCAGACCAGACCCAGACCGGTGACCAGACCAGACCCGGTGACCCCTGGTGACCCTGGTGCAGGTGACCCGGTGACCCTCCGTAACCCCCCGGTGACCCAGACCCGGGACCAGGATCTGCAGACCCGGTGAGACCCGGTGACCCGTGACCGGTGACCGGTGACCTGGTGACCCGGTGCGTGACCCGGTGACCCCGGTGATCTCCGTGACCCGGTGACCTGGTGACCCGGTGACCGGTGACCCGGTGACCCGGTGGTGATCAGACCTGGTGACCCCGTTGACCGGGACCCAGACCCGGTGACCCCGGTGACCCAGCCGGTGACCCTGGTGACCTGCACCCTGGTGATCCTGGTGTCTGTGACCCGGTGACCTGGTGTCCGGTAACCCGGTGTGGTGACCCTGGTGTCACCCGGTGACACCGGTGACCGGTGACCACAGACCAGGTGACCAGACCCGGTATCCCTGGTGATCTGGTGATCTGGTGACCCTGGGTGACCTGGTGATCTGGTGACCGGTGACCTGGTGACCTGGTGACCGGTGACCTGGTGACCCGGTGACCGGTGACCTGGTGA